GGCTTATAGGGTTTACCCATAGGCCCCTTAGTAGTTCCTTTTTGTGGCTTAAATTGAGAATCCTACTAGGTAATCCCAAAAAGGAACTACTATGGGGCTTTAAAGTTTGGGGCTGAGGGTGAAGGCAGACCAGAAAGTCATGGAGTAGTCGACTAATAGACTCCCTGCTTCCAAAGTGGCAATAGAATCATACAAAACCTAGACCCTGAACCAGAAACCTGAACCCCAAACCCTAAGAAACCCTAAACCCTAAGAAACCTGCAACATGATGGGATTTTTGCGCATGGCCCTTAGCGGGCGTCTGCTCTCCGTCCGCATCCGGCCTCTTCGCTCGCAGTTGCGGGGGCGGCTTGGGATCCTTCGTAGAAGAAGCGACAAACACACAAAACATCATAAAAAAGGAAACACGGTTTAGGGTTTACGGTTTAGGGTTCACATATTATTAAGATACTTTCCCTGCTAATTATAATTACTGTAGAGGGGCGGAAGTAGGGTTAAACAAAATCAATGTGGCTTTCCGGCTGCTTGCACGCAACATTGCACCTTGAAGCCTCCATCAAGTTGGGTCATACTAGTAGTATACATTAGTATACCATCAAAGTCCCCATTACATCGCTATTACCATCGAGTACCGTTAAAGTATACTAAACCCTGAACCCCTAAACTTTGCCCTAAACCCACAAAGCCAAGCTTCGGCAGCTCCAAGTCAGGTTCGTACGGAGAGAGGATGCAAAGGCTCGGGCAGAGGGGCTCCAATATGATAGAGGCCTTCATGATTCAAGAGTACTGTTTCATAAAATACTATGATGGGGGGGCCCTATCGGCTGCAGGAGGACTTTAGGGTATTGTGTAGTATACTTGCAGTAGGTGCCGACCAGCGCTTCCCTTCTGAGGCCCATGACCACCTACCCTCAATGCTCAAACCTACGCCCCAAACACGACGCCCAAAGCCTGATGAATCACAACACCCGCCCCCATCATTAACAAGAACCAGGCAGCTCATCTACCCATAGGCCCCCTAGTAGCTCCTTTTGGGGTTTACCTAATAGGATCCTAAATAGGAACCCCAAAAAGGAACTACTATGGGGCCTGTGGGTAGCCCCTCGCCCCTGAATCCAGAATGCTCTTGCACCGACTCCTGAGTCGCATTGATCCCGCACAGCTTCCTGGTCTCTCGATAGGGCTCGTATATGTTTGTATGCCCGAATGCCCGAAACCCTAAGCCCTAAACCCTAAACCCTAAACGCGACTGTGGGAACTACAGGACTTTATCAAGCCAGCAGGCCGGAATGAACCAGACCCAGGCCGAACATCAAAAAACTTTCAGCAGGTCATGGGGCTGGGAGATACGCACAAGCAGGGTTAAGAAGTACACCTGCAAGAGTCAAGACTGCCTTTAAACTTTAGCTATAGACTATACTGTCTATACTGTTCTTGTGCGTATAGGTAGATCTATAGCTAGCCAAGTTATAACCCGCTGCGTCAACGGCTCGGTCCGACAGTCTCGGAAGCAGGAAGCAGTTTCTGCATGCAGAGGCTGTTGGGAAGCTTGAGGCTGACAGTTTCAGGTTACTTACCCTAACCCCCCAGGTACCTACTGTATAGGGCCTTGGGGGCTCTAGTACCCTATATAGTAGGTACCTGGGAGGCTAGGGTTATGTGCTAAGATCATGTCGAGGTGCTGGAGCTCCACTTTTGCACTGAGCTCACGTGTGACGCATCTATGGGTGAATTGGAAGTTATAGGATTCGGGGGACCCTTGGGGATAGATATCTATGGGTGAACTAGAAGTTATAGGATTAGGGGCACCCTTGGGGATAGATATCTATGGGTGAACTAGAAGTTAGGATTCGGGGCACCCTTGGGGATAGAGACCCTCTCAATCAGGTCCCTTTTTAAGAGAGCCATAAGTAGGGTCGAGAAGGGCTCCCTTCAGAGGTCTCTCTTATACTACCTAGAGTATAGAAGCCTCATGCATCCGATAAACGTAGGGGCCTTATTAATTAGAATAGG